ATGTAGATTAAAATAATATGATTTTTTTTTTTTGGTTAAAATTTCCTACCCAATTTGCTTTTCAGCTTTTTCTTTATTTTCTTTTTTAAGGAAAAGGCTTAAAAAGGGGTGTAAGTTTTGGGCAGATGCAGCCCTGATCGGGATTTGCTACTGATAAACAAATCCATGCCTGCCAACTTCAGAGAGTCGTTATTATGCCATAGTGGGTTATTCCAGACCATCCTGATTCTCAGTGGTGCACATGGAGATGTTTTTCTTCTGGAAAATGTTTACATTTTCAGTGATGTTGTAGTTTTGTATAAAATATATGTTTCACAGATGTACCGTGAGAGAGCAGTATCTCTCCCACTAGCTACGGACCTCTGCAGACACATGGCATGGCTAGAACGCAGTCTCCACGTTAGGTAGGGTACAACAGCTGAACATAGATGGTGTAGGAATGGGTGGAAAGATAAAGTAACAATACAATGAGCAGTTCAGTGAAATGTGAAAAAAAGGCAGTCACATGCAATCACTTTTCTATTTTACTGTTATCAATAGAGTGAAGGCAAAAATTAATTGATCAGAACGTAGGCAGATCCGATGGCCATGGTAGGACTAATGGGTGAAGAGCCATAATGACCACAGCATAGAGTTGTTTTGTATATCTCCGGCATGGAATCTAATTTATATAGAAGATCTTGACTGTGGCATTTTATATTTGAGAGAACTGGTGCAACAAGTATATAGTGTAAATGCATTCAGTAATTGTGGAACAGTGCAATAAAGCACAAGACAAGATATGGAACTTATGTTTATGTAGTGCTCACAGGTCACCAAGTGTTTACAAGCAAAAATGTACTGGGCTGATAAGAAAATTGCAATAGGACAATGTATGAAATACTTCAAAAATAATAGCAGCATTAGGAAAATCTGTAATTTTATGAGATGTTTATGTGAGTAAGAGCCAGACTTGTAGAACCAAACTTTTAAGATGCAGCTGGATTTTACAAATCATACAGATGGACCTGCAATTTCACATTCACTCCAGTGATTCTGCTTGCCTGCTATTTGAAGCATGGATCCCTGCCATTTATAGTTTGGCACCCTGAAGAGCGGAAGGAACAACCAGCGGTTCTTTGGCATCCATGTTTCTACCACTTATCTCTATTCATGTCCTCTTTCCCATTACACATTTAGACTGACAGTGTAGTGGAACAGTTTATAGGGTTTGCACTAAGAGGGGAACATATAACAGAAGGCCAAAATAAATTGTGATTAGGGATAGATCACTTACAGAGTTGAAGAATATAGCCCATAAAATCTTGAATAGCCCAACAATATTTGGAATAAGCTAGCATCTCTGAATACTTTTGTGCATTAAACAGTAAGTTTTATATGGGCCTTATTTAACTGTTTTGACACAAGAAATTGGAACTTCCCAGTAGGGTATGTTAATGAAAACTGCATTAGAGCTAATTGGGGAGTGTTCACTCCTCTCAGCCCCAAGAGATTAATACTTTATGAAGAGACTGATGCTCTACTTAGTTTTCTCATGGGTCCTCAGTAGTGTTCCAAAGGAGAAATGCAAGATTTTAAACATTTACTCTTTTCCTTACCTTTCCCCACATCATGAAACTGATTGCTTTTCCTACTATTTTTTTTCAATACTTCTTGGCAATTAAAATTATGGTAAAAGCAAAGGACAGTGTATTTTAACTGAGCAAATCTACTTTAAAAGTCTTAAGAATACTCTGAGTATACTGTTGTAGAAAATATGATTATTCTTCAAGCAACTCAGGATCTTTAAATTAATTTTTGCCAAGTGTATTTTAAGCATATATCATCTGTTTTGTAGGAGATTTAGTGAGTTTGTGCAATATGGTACAGGTATTCTCATGTTTAACAGTTCATAATTAATTCAGTAAAATCACATATGTCTTTTTGAGAATTGTTTATATACAGCTGATAAAATCCCTGCATTTATAGGAATGATTTGGGAACAGTCTGTCACATAATTTTGACTTGCCAGATATTCACAGATTGTTAATGATGTAGATTACTGGTTCAGAATTTGAAATGTATGCTTTATATTAGTAATTGTTATATTAGATCACACAAGTAATGCAATTAATGATGAATCCTGAAAAAATGAAATATCAAATTCAGTGAAGAATGAATCTTTCAGTTTAATTCACAATTCAGAAATTTTTATTCTAGATTTTTTTCCATAAGTTTTATACTATTAAAACTAAATATATTTTAATAGTTAAAGGAAATAATTTAATGTGAACATTTTGTTGGAAAAAAGCAATTACTGGTCTTTGGTATTCCATAAATTTTCTTGTATTTCCCCTTAACTAATCACTCAGTTTTACTTTTAAAAATGCTGCAGTTGCCACTTAGTCCACATTGTAAGTCAGCTAGCACAGAGTTTAAAAGGACAAGAGTTATGTCCCCTTGCATAAGCATTTATTTTACTCTTTAAGTATGTGTTTGGAAATAATAGGTAATATATTTTTGTTCCTACTGTGTATAGGAACTTAAATTGGAATCTAGTTAAACTTCAAATTTCAAAACAACTATAATAGTTTGCCTTTAAAACTAGGTGCACATTTGTACACTTTCAATAATTATTTTTTAAGGGAAAACTGGCATGTTCCTCTGACTACTGCTGTGGAAGGTGGAAGATTGAATGTGACTGAAAGAAAACATGGGTTTGAGATACAGGAAGCTCTTCCTTCCATAAAATGAAAGTTACCCCCATCTGAAGGCCTGAAACCTAGATTATACATTACATTATACTACTTAAACCCTTTTGTAACTGTAATGCAATGCCCAGAGATGCATTTAAACTATAGATCTATCCCATGTCAGTGGTCACCAGAAACTTTGTGTAGAACTGTTTATTATCTAGGTTTTTTTAATTGGTTTGATTTACAGAATAAATGCAAGAATGAGTTCTAAGTTACTTGAAGTCAAAGAAAACCCCATCTTCTGCTCAGATTGCAGGCATCTACAATTCGCCATTCAGAAAATCCCCGGATCCAATGGAACTGCTGCTACGGAAGTCAAAGCCATTGAGCCACAGACGGCAGCAAATGAAGAGTCCCTTTGCCTCTGAGCTTTATGACTGGCCAACTTGTAAAAGGCCTCCCGCTTTCTCCGCAGCACAGCCTCTGCCACCTATTGGCAGACAGAAACCTCAGGTAACATTTTTCAGTGTCTCTGAGGCAGCTTTTGGTCATATCTTTTATCATAGATTGTCATAGAATATCTCGAGTTGGATCATCGAGTCCAAAAATCCCTTCTGTGGATTTGTTTTTTATGTATAGATCTAGTGCTTTCACTCAGGATATAGTCTTTGAAACAGATTTGTCTTAAAGAAAAAGAAACCTAGGTGGCATGTGAAAACAGGGAAATATGATTCTTTAGACTTTACTTTCATTCTTTGGGGAAAAAAAATTCATTTCCGATATTTCAAAGGGAAGACCTGATATAATTGGTTATCAATATTATGATTCATTAGAGGTAGAATTCTTAATTTCCAATTTTAAATCAATAAAAAAACCAGGAGAAATGAAAAGTAATAGGACAAATTAACCAGTTGTTATAACTTTTTCCTCTTTTTGCAATGGTTTTCCATATGAAGGCCAAGAGACATCCTCTCAGTATAGAATAGTTCCTGCTCTTTTGTGTGCACTAGCTGTGTGCCAGCTTTAATTACAAAAGTTTCTACATTTTGTTCTGCATCACAGCCAAGTTGTCCAGCTCCCATTCTTAGCTGTCATGGCCTCAATTTTAATTTCAGTTAATGTCAACATATGTTGCAGATAGCTTTTTTTTCTCTTCTATAAGGTAATGGAGACCTCTGAGATAATGCATCAGAGTGAATGTCCCACAAGATGGCAAAACAGCTTTTGCCACCTTAGTATCAAAGCCTGCTGGGAATATGCCCAATATACACAGCAGATAGACTTTTGAGGCTTTTATGTTCCTCACTTGATGACAGTACAATGACATATAGCTTTTGCCACTAAATGCCTGATACAGGTGCTTTTGGGATAGAAGTATTCTGTCTTTCCCTCTATTCTAAAGAATTTTTCAGTTTGACCAATCTACTGAACCTTCTACTTACCTCGCACATACACTTTCAGTGCCGGTTTGACTTTGAATGACCACAGTATCTTCAGAACCTCTTACACTTTTTCTTTTTTTGTACTCTGTCCTATATTTAAATTTTCTCTTCCGTATTTTGCTTAGAAAGACAATGCTTCTAAATGAGTCCTTCTCAGTAACTTTCACTGAAGCTATCATTTAGCTACAGAAATGAAACAACAATAATGAGCAATAAGCAATGTATAATATATCTTTATTGGTATTTTACTCTGCCGAATAAATATGGTTATTCTCACTATATTATCACAGCCCTTGGTAGAGGTGACCTGAACACAGTCTTAAGTTCGAACTACTGCTGGGTTCAAACTATGTGTACGCATGCCATCTGCCACAATTTACCTGTGGTTTATTGGTTGCATCCACGTCGTTCTTCAGTGGGGACAGCTGTGGGCGTACTGGCTAACCCACACAGAAGAGGCTTTTCTCATCTTTATGTCATGAGTGACTTGTCCGTAGCAGGACGAGTCTGTGTCGGTGGCGGGACATGAAGGCAAAGGCAATTGGGTTAAAGCATGAGGAGAAGATGCAGGCCTGCCGGAATACCTCTGGAGAAGTAGAGGTGAGCCACACAGAGATCCACACTGCTTATAACAGTAAGGATCAACTTAGGGCAATTCTACACCTTTGTTCTTCCCTCCTTATGTTCTCCCTACCTTAACTGCTTGAGCTTCCTCGTTGAATGAACTCATCAACTCACATTAGAATTGACACGAAGTGTAAGCCGACAGTTTGGGTGATCAGGGAGTTTGGAGCTGAGATAAATATGATGTTATGGCTTTACCTTCTGGGACCAAAGGGGCTATGGTGGTCCTTCAGTGGGATGTGACTGAATGCACTGTCTCTCAGAATACAGGGGAAGATTTTGCGTAATGGACATGGTACAGGAATTATGCTTTTAAATAAAGAGGGAACTCAGAGGTTTCCCATTGTTAAGTTCCTCTTGCAAAACTACTTTACTGTATACAAAGTATCTTACAAGCTTTTGTTTGGATTTCTAATATTTTATAGGCCTTTCTAAGTTCAGATGCACGCACAGCAGTCATGCACAGATAGTCTTTTAGAACAAACCAGAAGAGTTCTGTTTATTTTCTGCACCTCAAAGAGGGAATTTACTATATAATACTTTAATCCTTTCAGCACCCTGGGATGTACACTGTGGGGTAAATTTTCAAAGCACAGCGCGTGGATTTAGCTGCGCGACTCTTATTGATGTTAATGGGAGTCACACGGCTAAATCCCTGCACAACACTTTTGACAATTTAGGGTTGTATGTCTAAGAAAAGGACACTGGTTTGAGCTGATGAAACAGCTGGAAATGAAAACCCATCAGAACACATCATCCTGCAAGTTGTCTGGTGTGACAATAAGGAATTTAATTACTAGATATACTTGTGTCCTAGTTGTCTGTGGTAACACTTTTTGGCACCAAGCTACTTTTTCTAATATCTATCAGGTCCACTGTGAGTCACTTGTTACTTCACTGTTCTTTCAGGTATCTAAAATTTGTATTGGCCATAGGGTTGGACATTTTATATGAGAATGTCAATTATATATGTTTTTAAAAGAACAAAAATTAGCTATCTATCAGCTTTCTCTTAGGGAAATGGATATTTAGCATTTTATAGGTAAGCTCTGTCTGTGTAAGTGTACTTAAAAGAAAAGTTTTAATGATGCTTATACATCAGTTAGATCTATCATTTTTATTACTGAGTTAACTAGAATTAAAGTTTGGTGGAAACACAGATAATGCTAAAATTAGTGATTTGTTCATTAAAAGGCATTAATAACAGAAAACACATTGCCATTTTTAGGGGATGTTTTGCATGCCGTTAGCTCCGCTGGAATTGGGGCAGTGAAGAATGTATCATTTCAAGTAGATCACAGTTTTTATAATGAGTTTCTGCTTTTATGGTAAAGTAGTAAGAATGCCGATCTGCTAACCTTTATTTGGCAGACCAGTTGGTAGTGAGAAGATTTATGCTACTCAGTACAAATTCCAAACATAGAACATAGAGTTGTGTGAGTTGCTTTCAGGGTGAAAACTGTTGGTTGACTCTGTCCCTTCCTTTCCTAGCCTGACCTCCCCAGGAAGATTTCTGTTTTGAAGCAGGATGCCTGAAATGCTTGCAGGCACTGCCAATTTGAAAACATTTGTAAGCACCATTCTACCACGGGTTCCACAAACCTTAAAGTTAATCCTTGCTTGGATATCTCATTTGGCCCTTACCCAGATGGAATATGAGTCAATATTTTACAATGAAGAAGAAATACAATATTCTGAAAGACTGTTTTCTAAAAACAAACACATTTATCTTGATATTATTTGACAATAGTACATTTCTTTCTTCTTTGCTCCATATATCCACTTCATGCAAACATCTTGCAATACAGAGTACTCATTTTTTATTATAAATGTTAAACTTTTTTTTTATAACTTGATCATCAGACCATATATTACTAGAACATTGCTTACTAGTTTTAATGACCTGTTCTAGTATTGATTATTCTCTCCCAGGCGATAACGTTTTTCATTCTGTTTTTAAAGACTTATTGTGGTCATGTTAAATGAATGTATTTTTTTATGCAGACTTAAAAAGTAGAAGCAAGAAAATACCTGCAAGAAGTGTAAATACTATGCTCACTTGCTTACTAGGACCTTTAAAAAGATCTCCAAATCATGGTGCTGTGCCTTTAAAAAGTAAAGTTCCAATAAAAATCCATTAACTACTTTCAAATATAGCAATCCTCCTGTCCAGCTGTGAAAAGTACTAGATGATACTTATTTGCCATTTGTGTTATTTACGGTCCATGACTTTTATGGTAACTGGTTCCTATTATTGGTTTCTATTAATGTAAAACATAAGTGAACATAAATGAGGCGTGAATCATTTCTTTTTATTAGCCCCACAGTCTTCACTCAGCGCTTGCAGTAACTCCAGCTGTGACTTGTTAGTGATAACCTATTTAAAGAAGGATATCTTTAAGAATAAAGGGTATGATTAGGATTCTTTGTCTGTTCATAGTTTCAGAAGGTTTCACTAGTTCATTGCAGGATCAACGGTGATGAAAATAAAACAAAAATTAATTAGCAACACTTCTAAATCCAGAGTTACCACTAAACTGTCCTGAGCGTAACACAGCACTAATTATACTCCGGGTAAGTTCTTACTGGTTAGTACTAAAAGCAAGACATAGGATACGTCACTTTGACTGCACAGGAAAGGACTTCCTGCTGCTATTTATCTGTGTTGTTAAATGGTAGATGCTCATATGATCAGTTATTAAACAACATACTCTGGAAAAGAGACATATATGTGTATATGGAGAGAGACTTGTGAAAGAATTACGAGCTTTCTTTTTTTTAAGAATAATGAAATTAATGTGGAATTAGACTTTTCAAAAATGGGCTATGCACCTATATTTTTGAAGTCATTAGTTTGAAGTGTATTAGAAGAATTATATCTTAAGCCATGTATTAAGCTCCCTCCAGGTAACTTTATAGTTAAATTGAAAAGAGCATGTTCTTTAAGGCAAAAGATTATTTATCCTATAAAAGGAAAAAACTTAAGCTTTCAGCTTAAGGAGAATCTAGGTAACAGTTAATACTTGTGTGTGAAATTTTATTTCATCAATATTTTTTTCTAAGGAAAAACTAAGTTTTCCTAATCAGTTCTAATAATGTATTGTTTTTCAATACTAAATATTTATTAGTAGTTAAATAAATCTGGAGTGCACATTTCTCATTTTCTCTTTGGAGCTTTAAAGAACATTATCAACTTTTGTGTTATCTGTAACTCTCTGTCAAAATGAACTGCTTTAATTATTTTGGAAGAAAAGTCTTGCTACACTTCCCAGATATTCTGTGTCCTCTTTCATGAGTGAAGTGTTATGAATAAAAGAAGGAAAGAAAAGAACTGTAACCCCACAACAGAACACTTACATTATCCTATACCTTTCAGGGGCCTTTCCGCGATACTGCTGAAGTGTTGCAGCAGCGCTACAAGCCTTTGGAACCAACCTTGCGAGTGGCAGCATCAATCAATTCACCACTAGAGAAGGCCAGAGAGGAAATGAAAAGGGAGGAATGGAGAAACCGTATACATGACAATGAGTAAGTTCTTTGTTTTTTCTTGTGTAGTTATAAGAATGCTTTCTTTATTCCGTTGCTTTCAGAAACCCTTCATGCCTGACAAAATGAAATGTCAAACCTGACAGCTTACTAGCAAACGTTCTATGTGCATACTTCTAAATTCTGTCCTTAGATTATAAACTGTTCAGGGCAGAGGCCCTATCTTGTAATTGTGTGACATGTGCCACCCATACGTATGAATCTATAGAAGAACTTGTAATAATGATAATGTGTGATGCAACAGATGGGTTTAATGGGAAACAAGAAAACAAATGCAAATTCTGTTTTGCCACATGCACCTTGCCAAGGAAAAAGTACTGTTTCAGTCTTCGTATTCAGGGAGCTTAGAGACTATGGGAGGAAAAAATGGTGTTGCATGTCAATGAGACTTGCTTTCTCTCCCAGTAGACTACCAAAGCTCACTTGGAAAGGAAGCGAGCATATGTTGCACCTGTTAGAACATGATGCAAAAACTGTAATCATCTTTGAAGCAGTTTGGTTTCCTAAGCCATAGCATCTGTAATAGTGTCAGACAGGCCAGTTTTTTTCCATACAATCCCAAATACAGACATAATCCATCCCAAAAGATTTAATGCTTCTGTCCCGAAAGATTTAAGGCTATTGCCAAAATATTTCCAATTCTTTTCTTGTCATGATGGAACTCTTTTGTCCAATTGTAATAAAAACCTGTTAAGTCACCTGCTCTGGCTTTGTAGTTATCTAGAAAAAAATTGATGTTTTCTCAACTTTTCCCTTGAATTCGCTGCTCTTGGCAATCCTTTGACACTTTAATACCAGAATTCAGGACAGAAAGGAATCGGTTTTCCTCATGAGCAGCCTGTGATCCACTGATTCACTGGGACACGATGCTTTGCTATCTTTGATCTGTTTCAAGGTTTTCTATCAGCTCCATGTTGCCATGTGTCACCTTCAGGACTGGGACTAAAGAATGCTGGAATCAATTGCATTTGTGTGGTTTGGCTTTTATGTTTTTATTGTTAGATCGTTTTCCTCACATTTTCCCCTATTTAGTATTAACAGTGACTTTAAATGGAAATTCTACTCAAAAACTGTTTTGAAAGAAAAAAAAATCTTAGTTCAGCTACTTTTCCACTTTTAGGCATTGTTATTTTTAATATTTGGTGCCAAAAATGAGATATAGTGCTTTTTATTCCTTTCATTCCAAAACTATAACTGAGTTAAGTTACAAGTAAAAATGTACTTCAGTTTTCTATTCATCTCTGTAGTCTTTCATTTATTGGGGTGAGGGGGAAGCAGCTTAACTCTCACATCTCTTAAATCTGGGCCATTTTTTTTTTATTTTTGTTTCTAGCTTCTGCCAGTGAAATTAAAAAAAAAACAAAACTAGGTGATAAATGTTCTGCCTCTCATTTAAAGTGTTCTTTTCACTGAATAAGTTTTAACTGATGCATTCCAAGTGAGGATGGATGATATCCCTCATTTATAGGCATGACTGTATTGCCCAGTCTTTATTTGATGAGGTTTATCCCAGACATCACTGTGGCAACAGTTTCAGAAGGTCAGATCTTGTAATAAATATTTCACTGACTCTCTTCAGTGAGTGAATTGTGAAGCTTTGGTCTTGTACAGTTTAAATTTGGAGTCTCCAACTTTGACAGATATTAATTGATCAGGGATCTTTCTTTACCTTATGGGTAAAGAAGCATTTAGTGCCATCCTTAATGCACAGAAGCAATGTCCTAACACCAATGATTCTCAGCTTCATGCATGCTAAATGCATAGTGTATTATACATTTTCAGGCTGTGATCATTCCGTTTGTGCTTCATATTCAACCAACCATGCAAGGGTCACATCTGTAACCTTGAAAAGGTGATGACAGAGTTGCAGGTCATCATCAGGACTAACGCTCACTGGTAATGCTGCAGCTGCTGTGTGGGATGCCAGTCTCCAGGGAGGAGTCAGCAAAGGGTTACTCGGTTTTTCTCAGCAGTGTCTATTATGAATTGACAAATTTCTGTCTCTTTCTATGTAATTGTGTACTTTGGGACTGTATTTCTTCCTGGTAGTGCTTCCTATGCTGATTATTCTTCTATTTTAGAAAATAAGGAGAGAATGAACAGTGAAAGTGTGTGGCGTTTGTTGAGAAAGCTTGTGTTTGCATAAAATGACAAACTCAGTCCTTGATCTGTATATTTGCAGGCTGAGTATTGTGTGATATCTCTTAAGATAGAAAAATTGTCGGTGTGTACCTGCAATTTCCGACATCATTCAGAATTCCCACTCACCTCTCATTATCAGGGTTCTTTAAAGTGGTAATATGTTTTCTCTAAGTGTTTCAAGCTCCGAGAAAGTTTTTTGCTTCTGATAAAATGCAGAAATAATTGAAAAAGCTGCGGGAGAGTTTGAGGCAGGTGGAAGCAGTACAAATGAAAGCAAGTGAAATTTTGTGCTTGCTTAAAGCAACTGCTGGAATTTCCTGTTTTGTAATGAAAGAGCAACTGGGTAACCTAGCCTAATAAGAATGATTCCTTTTTCTCATGTAATTGAAGCTGCTATTGCTTTATTGTGCTATTTTTCATACAAATGAAGTGATTTCCCCCTCCGCTTGGATAGGAATGACAATTGGACTCCTTCAGGATGGCCGCTTTATAAGCGAGTGTCTAGTTGGAGACACCAACTACTGGATCCAGCAGATTTAGATAGCTAAGCATGAAAAGTTCTTTACTCAGTTGCATGCAGGTGCATGCTGGCCTAATTTTCCAGAGAACAAAAATGTAAATTTTTTTCATTAACTTTACTGAAATCTGTCTCATGTAACATGCCTCATGCTTCAAAGTATGCTATTAAACATCTTTATAAAAGTCAACATACATCAGAATGAGTTGCAATGTGGTGACAGAGTAGGGATAAACCAACAATAGTGTAAGGCTGAGGTTTCCTGATTGATTGTAGTCTTCTGGTGTGGCATCAGGCTAGTCATCTCACTTCTGGCTATGTCCATGCTCAGTGCTGTACTGGAGATAGCCAAAGCTAGTCCTGAACACACTGGTTCAGTTGTGTGCAGCAGAGTGCAACGTTTGCACACCCTGCCTCTCGCACACTGTGTGAACATCGCAGCACCAAGCTCCTCATGGGCTTATTCTCAGCAAGATAATGATTTCCTTTAGAACCAGCTTAGGTGCTACACAGTGCTGTGCACGAAAGGTACGCTTACAGAGAAGTTAATGATCTAAATAAGCTCTATACTTGAGAGCATCAGTGTTATGAACTGCCTCGTATTAATGGTAATAAAATTTAAAAAGCCAGTCACTTTAAGATTTAAGTTTTTTTAAAAAAATCTTTTAATTTTGACATTTATAAGACATTTTACTGTATTTCTGACTTAGCTGCAGCGAAAATGGCTACTACGTTTTATGTCATACAAATATGGAACATCTGAAAACTTTTTTCAAATTATACTTAGTTTTTCATATGCTTTGCAACTTCAGCAATTTGCATATTTTCCGGACTGTTATTGTATTATGATAAACAGGGATTATCATATATTTTCAGATAATGTTTTCTTTAACAATTCAACTTCTATTTGTAACTCTTCCATTTATTTTAATTACTAGCACAGTGTGCAACATTTATTAATCAGCAGAGCCTTTTTAAGTTAAAATACTAAATTAGCTAACCCCATTAACACAGAATACTCCAAACAAGCAGTAATAGGAGAGGTAGTTACTGTGCAAATCGTATTATACATGCGGGTGCTCTAGGGCACAGTTAAGCATGATTACCCTCTTTTGATCCAGTATTCCTCTGCTTCTTCCAGCTAATTTCCACTGGAAATTTACAAAGTAGCGCCTTCATTTTTCCATCTTAATTTTTCTAATGAAGTTCTGGTACTTTATAACACTGGGGATGCAGATAATAAGTCTGTGTATAATTAAGAGGTTCCGGAATTTGCTGCAGAAGAGATCTCTTTTACTTCCTGCAAGAACTAGACTGTGCTTTGCTTTGCCACTTTACATTGTTGCAGACAGGGATTAAACAGAAACAGTCAAAGGATTCTTAGATTTACTGACATTAGGATAAAAGTGATTGATAGTTGATTGAAAAAGTACGTATTTAGTGTATTACTGTAGACAGTATGTGTAATAATGCACCCAAAATAAGTTTCTTATGGAAAAAATACTGTGCTAAAGGTAATCTGACTAGATATATTAAGTAAAATAGTCTGTCTTTATTTTTGTAAATAACATTTTGATTTTAATTTACACTCATTATGAACTAAATAATGGCTGTCCTGCTGCAGTTGTTTTGCTATGGAAAACCACTGTGCTTCTTCCTTTGTTCCCCAAGTGAAAAGATAGACATTTTTGGATTTGATGAAGAAATTACTTCAGGTGTAACCCAAATTTGAAAGCTTAAAATTGATTTCGTGTTTTATTTAAGGGGGGAAAAAAAAAAAAAGATTGAAGATTCACAGCTTCCCAATAGAGAGGCACAGTTTTAGAGCTGATAGTTCATAGACCTCTTCAAAGTGCGATAAAATTGTTTTTATTTAAATTACATCAAGACAACAAGGAATTGAATTGCTATTGCATAGAACCACTTTAGATAAAAATTTAACAACACTATCACACATCTAGGGTTAAGATTTTGGTAGTATTTTCACTACTAAATGACAAAAATGTACAGTACATACAAATATTACGAAAGTTTCAAAAAACACGTAAGCAGAATATTCCTTTTAGTTCTCTGGTTTTAGTGTTTCTTATATGCCCTGGTAGTGCAGCATGTACGGCAGTCTGGCAGTAGATCTGCTGCCAGTTCTTTCTCAGAAGCCTGGGTAAAGTTTGAAGCATTTCTGTTATCAGGATTATATGCTTGCACTACTAGACCGCTGGGATTTTGCCTCTTGGGCAGATCCAGAGAATGTGCTGAAAGACCACTCTGGTTTTTTTTACTGCCATTTAAATTCAAGAAAAAGTGAATGCCTCTGAACTGTGTCCTTTTGGTAGGTGCCATATAGCATTGGGATGCTGCCACCCAGCAGTGAATGATGGACCTGACAAATCCTCCTTCCTGTTTGTGCTGCTACTCTATCCTCTCACATTGCCATAGACACCAGGGCCCAGTACCTACTGCTGCTTCTATCATCTCGGTTGATCCAACTGGAAAGCCTTCAGTGTCTAAAAGGCCTCTTCCATCTCCTGTCACAATAATGAGATATTACAATGCAGGAAGAGTGATCATGAAGGGGTAAAAATGTGGGGAAAAGAAGGATTGGAAAGATAAAATTAATAGTAGCAGTGAGGGGCAGGATAGCATGAATGAAGGGAGAGAGAAACAATGTTAATTTTTGTTAACAACAAATATCCAGGTTATCTCTCAAAATTTAAATACACACCACTAGCAGTTGTCAGGTCCAGGATTAGCTACTAAGTCGAGGCTTCTAGGTCTTTTTACACTAATTATGTTCAACATAGCACGGTCCTGGCAACAGCGCAGCTGGCCTTCATTACCAGTGACACTGCCAGCTTTGGTCCTGGTCCTCCCTCAGGTTGTGTATGTGTAATACTGCTATTTGTAGAACCTGAGATAGTTTCCCATTTTTGGTTCCAAGTCTTTCCCCCTGTCTTCAATGTATTTTCTTTGGCATATCTCTCATTCAAGCTTTTGTGGTGGGTGAAATGAAAAAAAATTTCATTTTAAAATTGATTTCTTTAGGGAAAGTTCACCTTCCATTAAATCATCAACTTTTGAAAAGGCTCAGCTTATAAGAACTATGTTTTATGGCACGATGTAACATCTATATGGAATTTAATTCTTCTTTGATCCTACTACTTCTGTCTCTGTCATATTTACTGAAAATCTTTAAGAATTTCTGAATTTACACTTAAATCACAAGGAAAAGCTGAAACCTAGATGTAAGAATCCTGTGAGTGAGATTTTTGTGGAAAAAACCTATTGAGGTCTAAACTTGTGCAGTTGATAATGGCATCATACCATTGTCTCGATTTAATTTTCCTCTCCTTCCATCACTCTCTTCTGTCACATGCAGAGCACATACTGCCATTAATTTGGGGAAAAGCTGTGTCAGGTGTATATATAGAGCTACAGAACACAACACCGTTACTGGAGAGTTTTGCAGTGCTATTGCTTTTTACTATGATTATTGGTTGTGGGGATATAATGACTTCTGTATGACTCCCATTAATTTGGTTACCCTACTTAACACAAAAAATTGTTTTAATGTTCTTTTTAATTACTTATTCACATAGAGTAATGAAAATACTTACTTGCTTTAAACAGACATTGAATTTGCAAGCATATGATTTTTTGGTTGTAGTTAGATCATTATTGCTGTCAGGATCTGCCCACCTGGCTCTGACAGCAGAACTATAGACAGAAGGAAAAAAAGAAAGTTACTACTTTATACCATTATACCCTATTATATTTTTAATGTTCTTTCAATTTTAATATTTTTTTATTGTTCAATGTTCTTCCTCAAAAATTCATAGTTGCTTTAATTTTTTTTTACTCAGCCATAAACATACATTCCAGGCTGTATGGCACATACTCCAGTTAATGTTCTTAGCGGAGATATGCAGCAGAATGCAGAAGATCACATTTGTGCTGAACTACATGTAGAACATACTGTTAGTTGTGTCTTAAAGTGTTACAATATATGTATTTTTTTGTTTGGAATCATGGTAGAACATGGATTACTCTGAGTATTTGAGTATTTGTTTGCCAAAAAGACAAAGATTAACTGATCCACAGTAAAATCAAAACATCTATGTAGGAAATTTTATAGGGAAAACTATAATAATTTACTTTGCCTTCTACTTTCCTCAAGAATTTTTTTTCCATTTGTGTACAAATTTTACAGACATAGTATTCATATTAAATAATGAATGCTATGGCTCAACTAAATTCTGTGCATATATGGGCAAATCCCTAAACTGCTAGCCTTTTCTTCTCAGCTATCCAGTCCCCTGAGAAAGCCAATTTTCCTTCATGTCTGAACAAAAGAAAAATGTACTATTAAAATGCAATTCAGAAGTGATAAAAACTGCAAGTGGAGCAGCCGGCTCACAGCACCTTCGATGTATTCTCTGGGAGACTGGGGCCACATTAATTTTTGTGTGTGTGTGATGTCCATCCCATGTGCAAATTAGCATTACAAGTACCATAATCTGTCTTATGTGAGAGTGTCCTTTCCCATGAGTATACACATGCTACGACAGCTTTGTATAATTTAAAAGTCTGCTAACTCAGTGTTTTTCTCTAACTTTACATGGCATTTGTTTATGGTACTTGATAGAATAAATTGATATAGCTGGCAAGATTCTAAAATAGTTTCTTTTTATGAAGTGAAAAGAAAGAAATGTAATTTAAGAAAACAAACACTTAAACAATTGCTGATGGATCAGTTAGTCTAAATAAATAATTTTCTGAGTCTGTATCAGCTGAGAGACAACGAAAGGTATTTTAATCCCCATCTTTATCAAAAACTTGTTTGACTGTCTAACTTTTATAGGGACTCTGGATTCTGAAAAGCTTTCAACTAGGAAAAGATTTTAATTAACTACACCTGTTGTCATGGCAGTTAAAGTGATGTTTTAAACTTCTGAAGCATATATTTCTAATTTTACTGGATAATAATTTTCCTGCACTTGTAGAATAAAGAATGCGTGTTGCATTTTCAGAATACCAGCAATGATAAGCTTAATTCACAAGATTTTACTTTATATTAAAATGTACTTGTTCGTTCTCACAACTCTTGCAAACCGAAATAGATGGAACTAAGACATCTTTGTAGGGTGTCTTGCAGATCCTTTATATATAAGATGTTTTTCACCTTCCTCCATACAGTTTGCTGTGGAACCTATCCAAAAACCCTGTAGTTGTCAATGAGAGTTAGGGACATCCATCTGAAAGCCTCCTCCATGCCCAAAGCAGGTAGATGGAGCTTCACTGTTCAGTGGCACTGTGTAAGCAGGGAGTCCACCATCAGTATGACTAAAGGTGAAAGGATCAGGCTCCAAAAGGTTGCTAATTAGGACATAATTATAACTTGAGAGTAAAGTACACAATTTGTGAATTCAGAAGAAATAATTTCTTTGCTTTGTGGTCTTCCAATATGTGAAAGTCAACAGTACCATTTGTATAAGTTTCTATTCTGCTAAGTGAGAGTACGGTTTATTTAGCTTTGATTAACAGATATCAAAGGATGCATACCTAGTTTAAGGTACAGGGAGGATTCTTTATGGTGAAAATTTGCCTTGATTTATGCTTATACTGCTGGCATGCTTGAAACATTCCTGTCCTGATGGAACGATCAGGTTGAGGTTATGTGTTGGGGGCCTACATGACTTGTAAAGTGGACGTGAAGTTCTCAGAAATGAGCTCTATACTTGTGCATGGTGCGTGCCTGCCACCGACAGCTGGCACAGACTGCGCTGCCTGCTAAGACTTGAGATGTCAACATGCAGATCCCAGCAAATTGAACCCTGCCCATTCTTCACATCACACCAGTTGGTGACGCAGATACAGCCAAAGTAATAATCTATAATGCATGTGAACCCAGTTATATCTTCATACAGAAAGTCTTCATTGTATCCTGTTGAAACTCTATATCTCTTTGCTCCATATTTAATTTAAAAGCAGCTATAGGAGAAATTGCAGTAATCCTCTCGCAATACTGAGGGGGAACATTGAGAAGGTAGTGGAAAATAGCAGGAACATGTGTCCATGTCACCTCCTGTAGCATTGGTATCTATGATTTACATCAATACTGTGGCATCTAGAGTAGAGCATAACCAATTTTTAAATATTCTTGAATTTCAGATTTCTGCCATTTTCTTCGTATAATAAAAATGAGAAGTATGACCCATCAATTCATAGGTCAGGCAAATATGGCCAAGAAACTTATGGAATTAAACACTTCCGAGAAGTACAGCCTAAGAAGCGGGTAGCAGACAAGGTAAGTCACTGCAAAAATTAAAGAATGTTTTACTTTTTTAGATTGTTATCGTATTAGAACTCGGTGAATTTGGGCCTGATCCAGAGATCATGGAATCCAATGGGAATCTTTCTAGCATGTTATAAAACCACATAGTTAGAGCTGATGCGGTGAGATGTCACGTTTCCTCGACTCTTTCTGGTAAGTTCAGTTTCAGGAAATTCAACACCTGTCCCACCTATAAAATAAGGATTTAAAAGCTTGATTATGTACAGCTTTGGTTATATAAGTTCTGTAAAGTTTTGTTCTATCTGTATTGCCTTTTCTGAGAGATTAAAAGAGATTGCATATTTACTCTTGCATATTAAGATAAACCTTCAGAAAATTATGGCAAAACCTGATTAAAACCAACAAAATATTTTACTGCTTACACTCTTTGGAAAATTCTAAAAATTAGTGAATAGCCATTTTTATTTTAAGATAGTCTTATTAAACTGCCTGCTTTCTCAGGAGCATCTCATATTTCTGGTTTTGTAGTACAAACAAGGGGTAATTTTCCTCACAAGATGTTCTAACATGAGTTTGTGTAATGTTTGCATTACTTCTATTTGTATTAGGTATGATAATCGCATTAAAACTTCCTAGTACAAGAAAGCTAATGGACTTGTTAGAGTGCAGCACAGAGCCATAAAGATAGTTAAGGGACCGGAGCATTTTTTGTAGGAGAGGCTGAGAGCGCTTCAGTCTGGAGAAGAGAAGGCTTGGGGGAGACCTTATCAATGTGTATAAACAGCTGATAGAGGGAATGAAGAGGGAGCCAAATTCCTCTCAGACTCAGTAGTGTCCAGTGACAGGACAAGAGGCAATGGACACAAACTAAAATGCATGAAACAATTTTTTATTTTTTTTTTTACTGTGAGGGTGACAGAGCACAGAGGGTGACAGGTTGCCCAAAGAGATTGTGGAGTCTCCATCCTTGAGGGTATTCAAAACCCAACTGGACACAGTCCTGGGCAACCTGCTGTAGCTGAGGAGAGGGGTGGACTAGATGATCTCAAGGGGTCTCTTCCAACCTAGACAATTCCGGGATTTTGAAAGATATGATTACTTACTTCCCTGAAAGTAACTTAACCTTTGTAAATACATAACAAGTTCCAAGGAATCTTAGTTTGAGAAGTAATATTTTTTAAAAGAATTCTTTCTTAAAACTTTAAGCTTTAAAAATGAGCTCAGAGTAAAATTTTGGTATTTTAACATACATTAATTAAATCTCACTGCAAATAAAGGCACAAAGATTAAAACATTAAAACATTAAAAAAAAAAAATCTGAATTTGTCTTTCAAAAGCAATGAGTGGAGGATATGACTGGCTGAAGTCCCACAGCATAAGTATGATCTATAAAAAAGATCTAAAAGTCTTATTGGTGGTACTCATCTTGTCCTGTAAAGAGTCTTCCAGTCTTTAGCAGTTCTTTATCAGGGTCAGATGATGATAGTATCAAACAACATAAAGATATTTATATTGTATATCATATCACACATATATAATTATATAAATTATGGGCTTAGCTGAAACAACTAAACTCACTTTACTTGTGATCTTGGATAGATTTCAACCTAAATCTCTGGAGGTGAATAGCTGTATACATTAACCCAACATGACATACAGCCTTCCAACCCCAATTCTAAATCAATATGAAGCTTCAATTAGGAGCCGCTTACCCAAACAGAGAGATAAGAGGAGAAAAGAGCTATTTATGACCTACCTGCTGCTTTAATGGATCATTATTATCAGGAAAAAAAAATAAAAACCCTCCACCTCCTCACTGTATTTTAATGGAAAAGGTCCTATAGGCAGGTGTGAGGTCATACTTTCATAACTGTTAAATTTTAATCTGTCACTTCTTATTTCTAAACTGTATTAAAACTTTGTATGCATCAGTGATATGAACAAAATTATCCTGTTCTAATGAATCACAAAGCTAACGGGCATGTATCAAAATAGTACCAAAAAAACCCCCCAGATTTTTGCGTAACACACTGTCTGCTAAACACAAGCCTCCTCTGAGTTTCCCATGAGGTGATATTTTTGTGGATGCAACTTCTATGGCAACCTGAACATAACCCTGCCATGATGTATATTCAGCTTCTGATAGTATTATACTAGAGAAGTTTCTCTTATCATTGCTGGTAAGACAAACTACTGTCTAGGTTCTTCCAAGGAGTTGCTTCAGTGGTCAGTGGATCAGTGACCCCTCTGAGTTGCTGAGGTATTATTTGATATTAGCTGATATTAGCTGGCTTTTTTTTGAACTACATATAAAAATTTTCCCTGTGTATGTTCATGAGCATGCTCTAGTTGTATTTTCCTGAGGTTTTCATGTGTTTATAAGTATGCATTTTAATTCAAGTCTCAAAAAGATTAGTATGTAAATTATATAATTACTTTAGAGGCAAAATGAACAACAATGAAAAATATTGCCTCGTTATATTTCTTCTGGAAAATGAAAGGGTATTAGCATAGACTTCCTTTAAACATAATAATTATCATATCTATGTGAGAAAAAGTTAATAGTTCTTCTTTTCATCTACTTATAATCTGAAAATTTTTATCTCATTCTCTTTGCATTTCAAAGGAGTTTCTGAGTTAAGGGAAAAACTGTTGTATTCTAATTCTTCGTTAAAAATAAACAAGAAATGGAAATACTACATCTCTAGTGCAACTGAATCTAGTTAGTTTACACAGTTGTAAATCACTAAAAATAAAAATGCTTGTATATTTTCAGTTTAATATCATATGTCTAAATACCTTGGAACTTTGATAGAATTTATGTGAGAAGTATCAATATAAAAAAATTATCAGTCACTATGAATTTAATCTACAACGATAGGTTCCAATGTAGCTGGACAGTCAAGGGATCAAATACACTAACTATAATCTTTCAGTTGTCAAAACACTCCCATATGTTCATATTTACTGAGGCAGAAATGATAGCTTACAGCTTTTAATCGGTATTGGAATTAGTTTGCATATGCATTTTAGAAAACTGACTGTAATGGCAGCATTTAATGTTTTCTTATTTGCAAAATTCAGGAAGTGACATTTTAAGATGTTCCTTCCCAATAGATTCTTTCCTCTGATGCCTTATTATAGGTGAATTACAGTACGACTGCATCACTCTTTCATTATTTGCACAGGCATTTTGGCCCTAAACAGAATTTTATTATCTACAAAGCATAAAAATACCCAGTACTGCAAAGAATTAATTTAGAGAACCTAAGCATATTGCACAGAACATAAAGTTGACCTTTACCGTCTACAGCTTTTGGAATGGAGTGGGATGTGGAACACATCATAGATTTAATGTGGCACAACGCTGTCTGCAGAAACTTGGGTGGGACTGTGACTGCCTGCCCATTGCACCCGATGATTGAATCTGCTGTCACCAGCATCCTGATAATAATGAACATTCAGCTTAACGACCGTGATTATGATTATCATAATTGATGTGCAAGTGCAGTGTGTGGGGATCATTACAGCTGAACTGTACAGCAGAGAAACATGCCTTAGTTATGGATAATTTTACTTTTATGCATTGTTTGGGATAAAATATGCCTTTCAAGTTCAACAGGCCAGCTTGATATAATTTTAGGAAGATTTCTACATGTATGAATTGATGATTATGAGCTTCCTGCAAAACAGTCATTCTAGCTGTTTGTTTTGAATTGTTTCATTCCATTAATAACAGGAAATAATTAAATAATTAGACGTTGTCGAGTGGAAATCACTTAGAGAGTACTGCCAGCATTAATCAAATATCAAGTTCAAATTTTTCTGATTGTCGTGGCCTTGCCTAGGCTAGGAAAAATAGCCCATGTAATTCACCACCAACACAATTCTATTTTTGGTGGAGCAGTAGAAATTGGGCTGTAGTCAACACTACTGGCATTTTCACACTGTATTGTGTAGCCATTAGAGCAGGCAATGGTTGTTCCTTATATAAATTATATCGCTTCCATCTTTGTCACCAGAGGCAGAGAATTACAGGCTTAAATTCAGCCAGTGTAGATAAAGGCACGATCAACAGCTTCAGTAGATTGTTGGACAGTGATTGCCTTCAACTGAGATTATATGAAGTTGCAGAAGTATTTAATTGTCATGACATATATAACAGATAAACACCAGTTGTGTGTATGTATTTTAAGCCAGAGTTTATATAAAGAACGTTACAACATAAGTATAATGCAAAGTATAGACTTTCATTGATTTACACTAGGTGTAAATTTGGCTCTTTGTCCAAGAACTGGCAGAAATTTCCTATCTGGGATAACAGGGATAGCAGACTATGGGTAAAATTCTTGATCTTTGACTTGCTTTCTACCATAAAGAAGATTCTGAGGATCAAATCTCTACGAATGTCTCAACTGCATAATTCCTCTCATATGACTTGACTAAGTTTGGACTTTCTATGACGAAAAAGAGAACCCCCTGTGTGTCCAAGGAATTAATCCTATTTTACATAGTCTGCTGCATCTGAAAGTTCACTAGCCTCTGTGGTTTTCATTGTTGCTCACTTTATGGCCCAAGGGGAATCGCATTATCAGGTAGGGCCCTAATTTCCAGGTATATGGGAAGAGGTCCACAAGGAAAACCTAATATGGCCTGAAAATCTCAGTGCCTTAGAAAGTGAGTGTGACTCTTCTACATGGCTGTGGCCAACCCATTTTCTTCCATATTCTTCTGCAGCAAGTTTATCTTTGTATAGTATTACTGCGATGGGAAAATATGGTGCGGGGTGGGGTGGGTGGGAAGCAATTTGTTCTGTTTGAAAATTAGTTTCATACCTTGTGGGACCAACAACATACTCACAACAATCATGTGTCTAGTGGATGATGTCATTATGTGGCAGAATTATTTGATACACTGTTCATGCTTTTCCATCCCTGACTATACTGAAATTTATTTAAATTTCACCTTAACTCCATTTTTCCTAACCTTGCAGTGATTGGATTTGAGATAGG